GAGAGAGAGAGAGAGAGAGAGAGAGAGAGAGAGAGAAAGAGAGAGAGTCAGTCATGTTTATATTTATTTAGCGTTTAGCGTGAATTTATGTTTCATTGATTTTAAACGAATTTTTGATCTCTTGATTCAACCATTTTCACACACTGTCCACCAGCGTAGACTGGTCCTCGTCTCGACATATATCTATTGAGATATCTCTACTCAGAATTCAGCTTACAACATCAGTGGCGGATTTAGGGGGGGGGTGGATTGGGCGGCTAGCTACCCCCTTCTGTTGGACTAACAATATTTTTACATATGTCGCGCGGCTGTACAAAACATCACCTGATGCATAGGTTAAATTATATAATTGAGTGGCAAAGCAGGTTACAACCCTTTTGCAGCTTTTTCACAGAGTTTCACAGCTTTTTCACAGTTTTTCTCAGTTTTCACAGTTTCACAGTTTTGCAGCTTTTTCACAGAGTTTCACAGTTTTGCAGCTTTTTTACAGAGTTCAGCTAAGACAGAGTTTTGCTGTCGCCCTCATCCCAGCGGTGGTCACCCCTACACATTGAATAATGAACGCGACGTAAACAATGCCGTGATGTGATGTGATGTGTAATGAGTGATGTGTGTGTTTGAGCACACACACGCGTCCACACGCACCCGCACACGCATACGCTCGCTCGCACGCACGCACGCACGCACACAGAGAGGGGGAGAGAAAGAAAGAGTTTAAGAATGTGCGTTAGTTCAACATGTCTTGATAATAAAGCGAAAATTACATGATTAGTTATAGTAATCTTTAGTGATCACATCTTGCTGCTCATGAAAAGAATAGTTATACTAAAAAGATAACTGTCGTAGTCAGAATGAAGGCTGTACATTTACTCAAAAGTGCCTCAAATACCATCTCCTGCGATCAACATTTTCAAAATGTTTGGGGGGGGAGGACCACCAGACCCCCCGCCTGTGTGCGTACACATTAATTTCACCCTAGCTACGCCCCTGAAATGTATAATTTATATATAAAGTTAAGAGCTAATAATACAGGTAGAATTACATCTTGGTATAGTCTAACTAGTATAATATTTCGATGGCAGCACCGCACATTTGCATGTTTGTCATCGTATGTATTATGTAATCAACCAGAGCGCATGCATCTTCCGCAGACACTGCTTCGTTAATACTCCACGATATTCAAACGCGCGCCGTAAAACAGAAATTAAACATTAAAAAACATATGTTTAGCTTCGCTTCCATTCAAAAATTAAAGAGCGCAATTTCGATATTTCTCTAAATAATTCGATCATAACTAGATAACTTCAATCAGTATTGCTGTAGTGAATAATTATAAGCCAGGGGCCCGTTGTCAGAAACAAAATTAGTTTTAGCATTAGGCTTAACCTTATGATGTTTCTGACAAATTAAGGGTACATGGCATATATGCATGGGACATGTTACGCAACATAAGCTATAGTCGAGTTGCCGAGTATAGGGAAATTTGACTGAGCGTTGCAATCGGGTATATACAAGGTTTTTGTAGTTTCGTGATCTTTAGACTATCCTAAACCGCAATTTACCGGGTGCCACTTCGACATCCTTAATTGGGCAATTTTTTCATCACAAGAAATGCAGATCGTATATTTTCCCATCTGAGTGCGTATAAATTAAGTGGGTAGGCATGCTAAACTTGCAATAACATCTGTAATATTCAGTCGATCCTCAAATATTTGGTATTGTAACTATTGTTTTGCTCATTAAACACTCATGCACAATTTCTCCGGCACCATCACCTGCAGCTTTTCGAATTTTCGTGGATTCTAGGATGAAACGGGCAGCGTCTACGGTTTAATTCAAAATTTCCCCGGCACCATCACCTGTAGCTTTTCGAATTTTCGTGGATTCTAGGATGAAACGGGCAGCGTCTACGGTTTAATTCAAAATTTCCCCGGCACCATCACCTGTAGCTTTTCGAATTTTCGTGGATTCTAGGATGAAACGGGCAGCGTCTACGGTTTAATTCAAAATTTCCCCGGCACCATCACCTGTAGCTTTTCGAATTTTCGT